AAATGTGGAAAGACTTGATATTGCTGAATCTGGAAGCTCACATATATGTTTCATGCAAATATGTATATTACAACTGCCGGCAGAATAAGGTCTAACATTTGTGCTTATCTTTTTAATGAACCAAGAAAAGACTACATTTACCTGATATTGATGGATATGTGACTCTTACACACATATTGTGGTCTAGTAAGTTAGGTTCATTAGTTGTTGGTTTCTAAAATGGTCTCAAGCAGTCCAGGCTGGCCTCAGGCTTACTACTGTATAGCCCAGGCTGCACTTAAGCTTTTGATAATGCTGCTTCTAACTCCCAAATGCTGGGATCAAAAGCATGAGCTGTTGTACTTGACTCATTATCTAGGTTCTACATTATTTGGTGCCTTCACCCTCAACTCTACTCCCATCTTTAATGAGGGCAAACAGTGGACAGAGCTGAAGGCTCTGCTTCTTGCTCTTCAGGAAAGATCTAGTGGCATTTCTATCACGAGTCTTCTCTAAAAGTTTTACAGCTCAGTCATAAATACTTCGCATTGGCAGAAACTTACCCTGGAGGGTCACAGGCCTAGAGAAAATTATTCATTTATAAATTTCACTGACTTTCTTTAAATTGTTTTAACTGCATTTATTTTTTTGTGATAGGAGGAAAATAATGGCTTCATAGTTGAAGACAGTTTTGTTCTCCTATGAATCAATACAGCATTGAGATACATGAAAAAAACCATCAGAAACTGGGTCACTGAGAACAGACAATAATTCTTTCTTTAAGAGAAGGGCTTGAGGGCTGGCATTATTCAGCCACAGATCTATTAGCAGAGCTTAAGGGGGAAAGTGAACGTTATGAAGTATTGATTAACTCCCCAAAGCATCCTGTTTGCTTTCTGTTTCCCATCCACATAGGTCCCAGAGAGGTGCATGCTTGAAGTATCCTCGCCATTCCCATAGCAGCCTCATAAAGAAAGGGAAGGGAGGTAGACCAGCCATGGCTCTAGGCTGTGCTGGTTCATGTGTGGCTGAAACTATATTTCTTTACACTAATTTCTAGAAGGAAAATGCTTATTTCATGCTGTTTTTAAAATATGTAGGTCTTTTCAAAGGTACGTAAGTTCCATTAAATCAGATATGAAATATGAGTTTATCTTTCATTCTCCACAGTGATCGTTGCCTAGCTCACCATGACATTGTATGCATTTAGCACTGAACAGATGGACCTCACCCTAATGGTCAGACTTATTAGAAGAGTTTGATCATGGAAAACATAGTTCAAATCGAAGCATTTGAAGCTAGAATTTATAATTGAGGACTTTGATAAAAATAGTCTAAAATCATACAATTGGCTGCAACAAAAATTTGGTCTTCTTTTTTTTAAGGATTTTTTTTTCCTTTATTAATTACACTTTACTAACTTTGTATCCCCCCACCCCCGTGGTTCCCTGCCTCCTCCCATCCCAATTCCTCCCTTCCTCCACCCTCTGCATGCATGCCCCTCCCCAAGTCCACTGATAGGGGAGGACTTCTTTTCCTTCCTTCTGATCCTAGTCAATTAGGTCTCATCAGGAGTGGCTGCCTTGTCTTCTTCTGTGGCCTGGTAATGCTGCTTCTCCCTCAGGGGGAGGTAATTAAAGAGCAGGCCAATCAGTTCATGCCAGAGACAGTCCCTGTTCCTATTACAATGGAACCCACTTGGATACTGAACTGCCATGGGCTACATCTGTGCAGAGGTTCTAAGTTATCTCCATGCATAGTCCTTGGTTGGAATAGAAGTCTCAGGAAAGACCCCTGTGCTCAGATTTTTTGGTTCTGTTGCTCTCCTTGTGGTATTCCTGTCTTCTCCAGATCTTACTGTTTCCCACTTCTTTCCTAAGATTCCCTGCGCTCTGCCGAAAGGTTGCCCATAAGTCTAAGCATCTACATTGATAGTCTAAAGGGCAGAGCCTTTCAGAGATCCTCTGTGTCAGGCTCCTGACTAGTTCCCTCTTTTCTCCTTCTTCTGATGTCCAGCCTCTTTGCCTTTCTGGATAGGAATTGAACATTTTATGATTGGATGCACAAATTGTGGTATATCTACACAATGGAATATTACTCAGCAAGAAAAAACAAGGAGATCATGAAATTTGCAGGTAAATGGTGGGATCTGAGTGAGCTATCCCAGAAGCAGAAAGATGCACACGGTATATACTCACTCATATGGACATATAATATAGGATAAACCTACTAAAATCTGGTCTTAATTCTTAATGATTCTGAATCTACTTTAAAAAGGAGTTGCACATATTTTGTCCTTTAAATGTAACCACTGAAAAATCAACAAAATATTCTGTTTTAAGCACACAGAAATATTTTATAGTTTTTTTCTGATTCAAAATCAACATATAATTTAGAAAATCTTTTTAAAAAAGCAAAATAAAAACAAACTCTAAATTTGTGTGTGCACGCTTCTGTGTGCATGTCTGTGCATGTGTGTACAATGCACTTGTATACATGTGCCTGTGAGGATCACAAGTCAGTCTTAAGTGCTACTCCTCAGCGGTTAGTCATTTTGCTTTTGGACACTGGGCCTCTCTCTGGCCTGGGGCTTGCCAATTCAGCCCAGGAACTGGCTTACTTCTAAACTGAAATGTAGACTGTGACACCACAGAAGACTTTATTTGGGATAGAAGTCAAATTCTTGTGATTGTAAGTCAGGTGCTTTGCCAACTGAGCCATCTTCCAGCTCTAAAAAATTTAAATGTATGTTGCTGAAGATTAAATATATTAAAGGTGTACAACATGAAGGTTTGATATATGTAAACATTGAGCAATTATACCACAACCAAATTAATTAACACGCCTGTCACTTACCTATACTATAATTTATAGCCCCTGAATATTTTCTTCATATACAAAAAGCTTGTATGTACCCTTGAACATGATCTCATTTTCGGTACCTCCTGCTCTATGCCAGAGACAGCCATTCCACTCTTTGCTTCTATGCATTCAGCAGTTTTAGATTTCACCTACACTTGGAATCATAGTGTTTGCCTGTATGAGTCTACCTTATTTCACTTGGAATAGTATTCTACAAGTTCATCTATGCTGTCACAAATCTCAGGATTTCATTAGAAAAATATAGCAAATAATGTAATGAAAAATATGAGCAATAGACCTCAATTGACCTTTCATAAACCAAATGTAAAGCTTGCCAAGAAGTATGGGAAAAGACAGTGTCTGTTACTAGTCACAAGCAGAATGCAAAACCACAAGGCATGCATATATGCTCATGTTGTGCAAGTGTCCTTGCATGCATAACTGATATAATCCTAGCATAAAAATATAAAGATATGATGAATGTTAGTGAAGATGTAGTGATGAGGAACCCAGGTACACCCTCAGTGGGAATGTACACAGTCATTGTGAAAAACAAAATGGAGGTGCCCCAAGGAACTGAAGGTAGAAGTACTACACAATCTCGTAGTCGCTCTGTTGGGTGTATATCCAAGGGACTAGGGATAGGCTCCTTGAACATATTATTCCAACAGTGTTCACACAGCACTGTTCACAGCATTCAACACAGGGAATCAACCAAAGTGTCTATTAGTGGTGGGATGAATAAATAACATACAATGTTATTTCTAGGGGCAGAGTGCGGCCATTCAGCTATACCAAGATAAGATGCTGTCATCTGTGACCCCCAAATGAACTTTGTGATATGCTATTAAATGCCATGAGCCAGACTCAGAAAAAGAACCACTGTATGGCTGGTTGCACTTATGCTTACAATAAAGACTAAACAAATTAAAAACTTAAAAACTGTGATGATGCAAAGTGAATAAATTGTAATAATAAAGAAAAAACATCTTTTATTTGTTTTTGTTTCTTCTGAATAAAGTTGGTCTAGACTTTGAGTTTTATAAGGAAAAGATTTAATGAAACTGTGACTTATGAAGTATGGGATGATCTGAAGAAATATGCGTAGACTGAGCTGAAAAGTCATGTTCTCAGGGTGCATCCGATTCCAGACTGCAGTGGCCAACGCACTGTCTCAGGAGACAGAAAAAAGAGAACAGGCAAATCTCATTTTAAGTCCACCTCTGCCAGCAACCCGTAATGGGGGCTTATTGTTCAAGGTGCTCTGTGAGTGGAAAGGGGTGAGGGGCAGCCATAGGCATAGGACACAAAGACAATCGTCTCTCACGTCCTTCTAGACCCTCCAGAGGTGGGATTTTTCAAGTAGTAGCTCATCAGTCTTTCAAATATTGACTCATCAATGAGAGAATTCTGAGCAGAGAAAGGTGGTGCTAGAGGCTGATCAGCTAAAACAGCCACCAATCAAGGGGAGAATTTCAGTCTCAGACAACACTAAGTTTGAATAACATGTTTATCTTCAATACTGCTTTTAACACTCATTCAAATGTAGTATAAAACATATTATTAATATTATGGTAAACATTTCAGTTATACATTCCTACCTAGAGTATACGTCAACGTCAGATTTAATCCTGCTAGTGTATTGCTCCAGCATTACAGGGTTTTTTCTCTGCAAAGGTTTTTGTATATGATAATTTAAATAGCTCTGTGTCCATGGATGCTTTTAACATTACTGTTTTTAAGATTTATTTTCATTACTTTTAATTATGTGTATCTGTACTCTCTGTATAATAAATGTGGATGTGAGAAGAAGTGCTTTTGGAAGCCAGAAGTGTCAGACTGTAGTGACAGTGGCAATTGTGAGCCACATGGAGATTCTGGGGACCAAACACAGGTCCTCTGCAAGAGAACTAATCTTTTCAGCCGCATGTTGTTGTTCGTGCTGTTGAACCGAATTTAATCAAGGAAGTAATAGAAATCTGTGATAATCATAAGAATTAAGGAGAATTTCAAGGAAAGATACTTTTCCCCCTTAACCCATCCTATTGTTAATAGATTGTTTAAGTGTCATGACTAATGGGTTCTTCATTTTTCTTCATTTTCTTCATTTGGTGACCTTAATTCAGTTCCTAATTCAGACTATAACCTTTTTCTACTAGGTGGAGCCAACAAACCTTTTATCCTTCCTGTTGCTGGAGGGTCAGCTTTGCTGTTACTTGTCATCCTAATTATCATCACCATCATTTTTTATAACAGGTGAGCAAAGCAACTTACCCCAAGTCTTATTTATCTTGAATAATTTTGATATTTAAGGTTTCAGTGAATGACCCAGCAACTTACCAAGCCGACTCAGTATTCGTGTGTGTGCAGTTACATAGATGTGTAATTACTGCTTTTAAACAAGGAATGGGAAGCAAGGGAGTTCTATATAGACAAAAGCTAGAAAAATTCACTTAGGCATTGGTAGAGTTGGCAGAGTGACCTCATAATCTTGCAAAATTTTCTGTCCCATATCCATCTTTCCTTCCTCCTCCTCCATGAGAATAGGTGTCTGTTGAGAAGGTGTGTGTGGAGTGAGGCGGTCTGGGGGTGGGGGAAGGGAGAGAAGAGTAGAGTAATGTTTTATTCATTTATCAGTTTTTTATACTGCAATGCAGCAAACAAGAGGTAAGAAACTTGCATATTTGTAGAACAACAACACAGTCTCAAATGGTTTTGTATTTTCTGAAACAAGCCATCTTGAGATGTTAAATAAAATGGCTTAGATAGTAGCTGGAAGATTTAGGTTCTATTGAATGAAGCTTCTTACCTTTAACTGTATTTTGGCACAGAGGAAAGTTTTAAAATCTTCGTAGTTGGCTTTTTATCTTCCTTCTAGATCTCCCATGAGCACTATTGATTTGTCTAGTTTTCCTCACACTTCTTAATTTTAATTTTATTAGATAACTTCTTATACTATGTTCCACCTGGAATGTTACCTACTCGAGGAAGGAAGAGATCACTCTTTGAAGACTGACAGTTTGCATGTCTGGAAAGGCATGTAATATGCTTTTTTGATAAATTAATAACATTTTTCTTACCTTGCTGATAATATCAACACACAACATCACCACCCACCCACCCACACACTCACTGCCCCAACTTATTAATATGGTTCTCTAGCAGGTTCATATGCCCTGACTTCTGACTTCATATATTATCCTTGACTCCTCCCTTTTTTACTGTTTAATAACTCTTTGCATTCCCCACTTTATTCTCAGACTCATTTCTTCCTTCTAACCCGCTGATGTTTACCTACTTTTTCCTTTTTATATTTAAAAAAATTAATTTAATTTATATATTTATTTATTACAATTTATTCACTTTGTGTCCCCGCTGCAGTCTCATCTTTCATCTCCTCTCAGTCCCACCACCCTTCCTCTTCTCCCCCCATGCCCTTTCCCTAGTCCCCTGCTAGGGCAGGACCTCCTTCCCTTCTATCTGACCCTAGCTTGTCAGGTCTCATCAAGGCTGGCTACACCATCTTCCTCTGTGGAAACAGGATTTGTGATGCCATTCTCTTGATTGACACTTCCATTGTCTTTTCACAGACTCAGAATAATCTTAGAACTTATTGACCTAGCTGTTGAAGGTGCCTTGCTTCCTGAACTCAGCATAATTGTCACTTCTATTATCCATGTTACTATTCCCCCTCTTGCTAATTAAGTTTGTTAAAACTGAAACCATCTTTTTTTTTTAAACATGTTCAACATATTTCTCAAAAGAGAAGAATTTTGCTACCAAAATACAGTTTCTCCAATTTGGCCAAAGTCTTGTGCTTCATTCAGCATGCAAGGCACTTACCTCCTTTCCTCCTGTAGAGGTCTGTCCTCTTTGATATTCCTTTGGATAGACATGATGTCACTATCTAGAATAATCTTGTCCCTTTGAACTGCCAGCCCTCACCTCTTGCTTTGTATTTTCATTCTTCTTGTGCTTGTCATCCTTTACATCTGTTATAATCCTAATGGAAGGGTTTTGTGGTTTGTTTGTTTTTTTATTTTTAGTGTTCGACTACACTAATCTGTCTAAATAGTGCATCTTTAATAGGTGTGTGTTCAAGTACATTGAAACTCAGGAAAGTCTTAACTTTTCTCCCATAATTTGTCATCTTAAGTCTTTTTTTTTTTTCCTGACCAGAAGTTACTAAGTTGAGGTGAAGCCTCACAAGTGTTAATATTACAGTAAATTCTATGCTGCTTCACGTTGGTTTATAAAAAATGCAAAGGGCAGAGAACACAGGAAGAGTTTATGGGGACAGGCAGCACAGCTGAAACAGCGAGTAGCAGAAGGGACCTCTTGAGGGTCACAGATGTTGGTCATGATAATTTTGCTTCATGAAAATGCATTATTTTAACAGAACAAATACATTGAACCAGAGAGTACATAGTCTCCTTCGGTTAAATTTTATAAAGATTAGCATGCTTGAATGCCTAATCATAAGTGAAAAGCACAAAAGAAAAGACATTTGCTCTTTCTCCCTTGTCACTGCTCTGTTTGGGTTATTACTTCAAATGGAAATGCTCTGAAAACTGACCTCAGGGTTATAGCAATGACCCCAAGACCCTTATCTTACCATTTAGAATAGTGCTGTAGCTTGAGATGTGCTGAGCTGGACAGAAGCCAAATTTGGACTTTACTCTTGGCACCTAGACACCTGTGATTCTGATGTCTTTGGAAGCAATTCCTCTGCTTCTGGTTTATACTTGTTTCATGTAGAGATGAGAACAATGGCAAGAGTGAATGTGAACATGACTAGAGGAAGTGCAGAGTACTGCTCAGAATGAAAGGAAACAAAATTTATTCTTGAGATGGACATCTGTCTTTCTAGAGTGAAATTTAATATTTACTGAGAAAATGTTGCTTATTTGTTTTCAGTATTGAAAAATGCCTCATATTGGGAAGTACGTTATAATTAGGCAAACAGGAACATGTTCAACACAGAACAAACCTTTGTGTATGTACCAACTGTATTGTAAAGATAAGAGGTCTGATCAAGAGAGATATTGATCGCTTGTCTAACAAATAGCACAGCACAAGGTACATAAGGAAAGCATTGGGACCTAAGCCAAGTTCTCTTTTATTCACCATGTTTGTGAACTCTAGTCTTATTTAAATATAGAGAAACACCCAGAGACAGACACAGACAGACACACACAGACAGAGACAGACACATACGGAAAGAGACATACAGACACACACAGAGACAGAAACACACACAAACAATCACACAAATACACAGGGAGAGACACACAGAGATACATATAAACACACATTCACAGGCAAACACACACACACATCATCATTTCTTATGAATAACAATTTAACAACCAGTGAAAGGCATCGTTTCATGCCTTTGTTCCCTCATCTACAAAAGAGGACAGCAATAACAGCCTTATCACATAGTTTCTTGAAGAATAAATAAGAATTGACTTACATATGCTTAAGAAAAATTATTGGTGCATCATACATTTACACACAGAGTGTGTAAAGAAGTTGAAGATGACTTTCTTGAATAACAAACACCAAATAATTACCCATAAAGAGGTAATATTGTGCTGAGGTAGAAGAGCTACTTCCAAGCAATTGCAAATATCCATTACAGGTAATACCCATTACTGGACAGCTTTCCTTTGTAGAAAGAATGCCTTGTGTTCAAGATTTCTACAGAGGGTTGTAAGTGAATATTTAAACAATACAATGAGAACAAAGAGAATGAAACTTTTTATTTCTTGTGACTAATCTATTTCTGCTGTAGTTCAGTTAGAATTTTGTCTGTAGATGATGAAGAGACAGTCATATATCCCACAACAGCTGCTTCAGTATCTCTGGCTGTGTTACACATTCAATTATAGTATCATCTTTCGGTTTCTCTTATACTCATTCTTTTGAGATTCCACCTAAAACTTTGGTTTTCCTAGGTGAGTGTGTTGCAAAATGTGACTCTGGATGGTCTGCTTGTCCAGGTGACTGAGAATGGAGAAATTTTCAATCAGGTGGGAGGGCTGTGGCTTTAATTCCAACAATCCTACTCACCAACCATGAGATGCCAGGCAAGATGCTATTCCCCTCTGAGCACTTTCCTAACCTACTAGAGCTTTGGTGAACTGTAAGTGAGATGATGCATCCAGGTAACTTGCAATAAGACCTGGAAGATTTTATGAAACTTAAGTCAATTGTTAAACATCACTGTGCTGGCATTTTAAAGAAGTTTTTAATATAATAAAGTCTCTAAGACTAAAAGCTGTAGGCTGTTTTAATACTAGTCCACTACATAGTATTTTGTAAAACCACTATGATTAATCACTAATGCACTTTGCCTGGAAAGTTATGTAGTTGTACTTTCCATCTATAAGGACATCAGAGTAGGTAAGTGTGTTATTCTTTTCATTGTTGTGACAAAACATAAGGAAAAACATCCTTAAGGATGAACAGATTTGTTTGACTCACAGTTTGGAAATATAGTCCACCATGGCAAAGAAATCATGGAAGCAAGAGTATGAATCATCTGGTCATGTTTATACAATCAAAAAGCAGAAGGAAGTGATTCCTGATGGATTTTCTTCTTATTATTGAGCCTTTGATCCAGCCCATAATATGATGATTTCATATACAGAATGAGTCTTCTTTCTTCAGGTAACATTTTCTAGAAACAAAAATAACACCCAGAAATATGTTTCCATGGTGAATTTAAATCTAGTCAAGCTAACAGTCAAAACATCACAGCAGAAAATGTATACACAAAGCAACTATTTGTAGCCTCAACTACTTATTCACTAAGTGCACACTGTCTGGGAACACAGCAAGAATTTGAACAACAGTAGGGATAACTAGTGCTTTAGGGTATGGTCTTAATATTCTGTGATGAATTTGTATTCTAGAAGGAGAAGGAGACAGGTGAGAATACCACCTAAAGAGCCCAGGGATAAACAGAGTAAGAGTAAGGTAAGCTGATGATCATTGCTTTTATTTGTTTAAAAATTTCCTGTAAGGACCCTTTTTATTTTCAATTATCAATCTTCTTGCTTATTTTTCTTTCAATGACCTTTCAATGCCATTGCTTGCAATTCAAGTGTCAACTAGCTGAGGAGGAAATAGTTATTCTCTTATTAATAATCGAAGTTAAGACTTTAAAAATATATTAGTATAAAAATACCACAGGCCTATAGTTCTAGCTCTTGAAAAGCTGAGGCAGGAGGACTGTGAGGAAAATAGGAAAAATTACACTGATATAATTACAGTCAGCCATACATATTACCCAAATCTGCATTATATGTTATTCTTTAAACTACAATGTGTAAACCTATTAGTTTAAAAAAGGTAGACATCTGTGATTTCATGATTTTGAGGATTGAAGTAAACAAACAAAAAAGGAAGCCTGAGAAGGACAGCTACTTCTGGAGCAAGGCTGACCTTGTACTTTCACTCAGCTTCCGGAAGCTGTCTGAATTCCTCTACAGCTCTGGCTTGAAGACACGCCTTTCAATCTCTCCCTGCGTTCATGTGTTGCTTTACCTGTGGATATCTGGGTCTCCTTGGTTTCTAAGGAAGACATTGCTCATATTGAACTAAAGGCTGATGTCTCTTACGTCACTATAAAACAACACTAACCTTCTTTATTGATTCAATATTTTGTATATATGTGCATACGAAGGCATACTTTCTTGTCAATATGTGCATGTGAGGGGGCCAGTGGGTTATATCTTCTATCTTCCTCTATAGGGTTCCATACAATTTTTGAGACAATGTCTTATTAACTTGCTTGCTACTTTGGTTAGACAGGCTGGCGCTGGCCATTGATCCTCTGAGATCTTCCTTTCTTAATTTCCTAGTACTTGGGTTACAGAGACCTGTGCCCAGCTAGTTCATGGGTGCTTGGACTCTGAATGCATATTCTTATGTTTGGCCACTACGCCATTCTTCCAGCCCATTGATATTAATTTATCTGCAAAGATCTTATTTTTAAAACATGTTAAATAAAAAGATTTTTTTAAAGAAATTTTAAAATAGGCAACTATTCAACTCAATACAGACCATAACATTATTTTGTGATAAGAGGTAAATTAAATTAAACTACATAAATGACTGACAAGCATAGCACACATAAAGAAAGATATAATGCATGACATTCATTGATGTTATTATCTTTGAATTAATTTTTTTCAGTTGTGACTTTATAGAAATATGCTTTTTTGCTATGATTTAGTTTTTGTCTTTATTTTTCTTTGATAAATGATTTATTTATTTATTTAATATTAGTTACACTTTATTAACTTTCTATCCCAGCTGTATCCTGCTCCCTCATTCCTTCCCAATCCCACCCACCCTCTCTCATCTTCTCCATGCCCCTTTCCAAGTCCACTGATAAGGGAGGACCTCCTCCTCTTTCATCTGACCCTAGCTTATTAGGTATCTTTAGGCCTTGGCTGCAAAGTCCTTCTCTGTGGCCTACCAGGGCTTCTCCTCCCTCTGGAGGAGGGGGAGGTCAAAAAGCCTGCCATTGAGTTTATGTCAGAAATAGTCCCTGTTCCCCTTACTAGGAAACCCACTTGGATACTGAGCTTACCATGAGCTACATCTGAGCAGGGGTTGAATTAATTTTTAATTGATAAATGTACAAATAGGTTATAAAACTACAGAATTTTCTTGCATGGTGTAGGATTGTAACAAACTATATATATTTTTCTTTTTTAGTGTACTTTGCTCCTACATCTACTGTTTAATTAAAAGTATGGAACTTTTCTTCTATGTTTGCAGACAAGAGGAATGCTTTTTATGCTCATTGTCTCTTATTTAAAGAGTTTGATCAGATATTTTATTTTAATAGCAAATTATTATGTTTATTAAATTTCACTATAAATCATTACTGGGGACTGAATGTTTGTAAACTCTCTTCACATTTTAAATCATCACACCCTCAGGATGATAGTAGTTGGAGGCGGGCCTTGCAGGGATGATTAGTGATAATGATAATCCCATTAATGGGATTAGTTTTCTATAAAAAAAGATGGGAGAGTTTTGAAAGCCAGTCTCCCTTGTTTGTTTTTTTATCCAAGAAAGGACTGGCATAGGAAGAAGGAAGATGACCGTCTGTAATTCAAGTGTCAAGCCCTCATTCGATATTTTACCTTGGACCTTATATTCTTCAGAATTGTGAAAAATAAATGTTTGATGTTTAATTAAGCACCTTACTCTATGCTACTGATGGGTCTCAACAGCTATGGTTACTTGCATCAGACCTGTTCAAGATGAACCCAGCCAGCAATTTAGCCTTGAGGCTCACAAGCCCAAACCCTTAGATGAGGAGCTTCAGTTGATGGCTTCTGTCAGAGGGAGAATCCATTATTTTTAAGGTCAATAATGTTCCAGTGGATGGCTTCACACCTGTTTGTACATGGGTAGAACAAATTGGAATTAGTGGGTAATAAAACAATGGAGATGAAGTTGGGAGGAGTTAGGGGAAGGAGCAGAGATTAATATGACCTAAATACATTGTATACATATTTAAAACTATCAAAAATTAATAATAATACTTAAAATATTTAAGTATTATATTTATATAATATAAATACTTATATATACAAGTGTTATATTTAAAGAGCGTTTTATTTATTAAGACATCCATTCAGTAGATATTAATATTATGCACTATGGAGAAATATATTAGACTTTGCATAGGAAGAGTACATCTTATTTTTGAAGTGGTAATCAGCATAATACTGAATCTAATAATCTGCCTAAAATTTATCTGCCATGTATTTCAGTCATATAAATTGAGAATGTCATTTCTAAAATAAGTTTTAGAAGTAAGTTTTACATAATAAAGAAAGTATTTTACCAAATTTTTGTAATGGAAATTTGACCTATATTAGTATATTTGAAGTGTTTTATGGAATGCCTTCATTGGATGCTGAAATTCAGTGAGTCACTCAATGTTCTGCTATTTATTTTGTAGGTAGCCATCAACTGCAGAAGTCCCACTTCTCCCATCCAGTCTATCGATAATGAAAAAGAGGACATTTATGTGAACTATCCAACCTTCTCTCGAAGACCAAACCCAAGATTCTAAGCTATTCTTCTGGTCTTAGCACATTAGTGATGACCTCTATGGCATGGATTTTTACCCATGCTATCTTCACTGCCAGGATCTATTTTGATTAAAAAAAAAAACTTGATTGAATTTATTTAATGTAATAGAAAGAAATACTTTTTATTACCTTGGAACATTCTTAATAGAGATGCATTAGAAAACCTAAATTTAATTAGCTCACAACTGCAAGGAAACATAATCTAATAAGTAACAAAACAATCTCAAGAAGATTAAGTACCACATGGATTTCTTGTTTAGTTTGAAATTAATGGTGGGCATAAGGTTGTTTCTGGCTCCTTCCTACAGTATTGGTTCTCCTTATATTCTACCTGCCCAAACTCTCATTCCGCCTCCCTCAGATGCTCACATGATGTTTGCCAAGGTGGAAAGTTTACTAATCAAACACAAGAACAAGGTTGTTACATCACATAATTCAAAAGAGTACATGTAAAGTAATGGCCATTGAAGAGATAGGTGCGTGATCATTTCTTCCCTTTCTAATTTCAAATAAATTAATCTCTAATTCTATAGAAAATTCTTGCCATCCATCCAGGCCTAGTCTTTTATACAATGAGATGGTTCAATAAGGAATAATGCTTTTTATAATGTTTTTTTCTACTTTTGAGAATTATTTTAATATGTAAATTTGTAAGTTAAAAACCGTGCAAATGAACAAGTGAAAAGAGATTGGTGATTTTAAGCAGTAGAATACAGTAATGTAGGAATCTGAGAACAGAGTATAGAAAATGTGGGGGAAAGGAGAAGGTGTCACTGAAGAGCAACATATGTAAGAAAATCTGTGCCTCAGAGTTTGAACAGAAACAGCCCTCCAACACTGCTGGCATGGAGAGGAACACTCGATGTTGTCTCCATTCTCGATACAAGAAAACATAAAAGCATTGTGAAACTAAATAAAATTATAGTTGTCTCCAAACTATGGTGGTCATTATCAAGTAGAATATTATTTAGTATCTAAAAGACTCATTTCTTATCTGTAAAGAAATTTAAAGGACCATAATCTTTAAATCTTAATTGTAGAAAGCTTCATTTTAATTTCTGGTATGTAGATTTTGTTATAAAACATAAGTGAAACAAAAACAAATGCTAATGCTGTTAAATATGTTCTAAAATATAATTCATAGTTTTAAGGTAACTTGTGAAAATTTAATTTTGTTAACCTTAAATACCATACACCATGAATAGGCCTATTATTTTGCAATTTCAGAAAATCAGAAAGTAATAAATGAAAATGGCAAGTTGTGCTTACAAATTTACTCAAAAATGGATAACTCAGATTTTTACAGATTGCTTGAAGATTTTGTGTCTCAAATTGTGAACTGTTTCCATAAATATACCAGTGTATCAAAGTTGAAAGACAACTAATCAAAAAAAAATAGCCAACGTTTGGAACCATTAGAGATATATGGCTATATATCTCAGTTTGCATAGTGAAACAACAGTATTACTCATTAAATAGTTACTTTCCATATATGTTAAAGACAACCAAAATACTACTTTCTAGAATATTTGGATGCCCGACTTTGCAATGGCTAAGTAGGTAAGAGGGAATAATTTTTATAATTGCCTATAGGGAGATATAAATAGCTAGCTGGTGGTCAATGATTTGTATGAAGAGTTACCTAAGTAGAACAAGAAATCCTCCAGAACATTGGGAATTTCTTTTGCTGTGGGAATTTAGATGCTTTTTTGAAAAAAAAATCACTTCTCACTGTTTCTTTCTATATGTAGTTCCCTTGCAGAATTTAGTATTTATCAGGGACACTTGCTGCAACCTCTGACCCCCCATGTCTCTGTTACGCTGACACATTTTCACTCAAGAAAGCACTTTAGTTTCAATCTTTGTATACTGCACAACTCACCCAATTTCTGGAATATGACCCTCAAAAATATTTTGTGCCTATTATTCTGATTGGCAGCAGAATGATCAAAATTGAAACAAAAAATTAAAAAAAGATGAAAGTCAGAAACGAAATACAGTTTTTCCACCATATTTTATATTTGGTGCTGCTTCAGAGGCCAGATGTTTTCTGGAGGTGCTTTTTACCCATTATGTGCACCATTATATAATATGACCTTAAGTGAGATATGTATGCTTGCGTTCAATATCATAATGTCTACAATAAAGTAAACAATGAAAGAAAGTTAGGTTTGATTAGGAATAGAACACTTTCTTAGGCACTTATAATGACCATGTCTTCACTATATTATTATTAGATTGATGTTGAATTTTATTTAAATGCTTTTATGTTAATATTAAGAAAATAGTATGTAAGTCTCTCTTTTTCTCTTTTATTCTTTCCCATTTTTTCTATTTCTGAGAACTGAACTCAAGACTTCTCAATGTCAGGCAAGTGCTCTACCCCTGAGCTACAACTCAGGTTCAGAATATAATTTTAAAGTTTAAATATTCAACTTATTGCCAAGATATTATATGTTAAACTTTAATTTTAAAAATAAAGTAAAATTAAAAAAACTAGGAGGTTGCTTTTTTATTTAAAACATGAAAGCTTTATTAGTTTAAACATAGAACTCTATTAAATAAAAATAATATTTTGTAGAGGAGTTTTAATACAGCAACATGGTTACTCTGGCTGGAATACAGACATGTCCTTAGCACACACCTTTGATCCCTTTGTCTAAATTACAGGCATGCCTTTGGTACATGCCTTTAATCCCAAACAATGAAGGTAAAGTGAGTTTGTAGAACGAAGCACCCATGTTTGAGAATGACATCCAATGAGAGACAGACAAAATGATGAAGCAGAGAAAGAGTTGACAGAATGAGCAGGGATAGATATGCTCAACTTTAGGAGGAAAAAAAAAAGGAGGAAAGAGAGTTGACTTGAGAGAGAGTAGTGCAGAGGAAGAGGGAGAGGAGGCAGTTTTATGGGAGAGTTTTACAGAGACAGATAAAGAAAAAATGATCCAGAGAGTGAGAAAGAGCCAGAAGATTAGAGCATAGTGCTAGAGTTAGTATGAGGCCAAATAGAGCAATTCGGTCAGAAACTGAGAGAAGCCAGTGTGAATCAGTCACCTTGTAGAGGAGTTTAAACCAGAACAGCTGAGTTGAACCAGCCAGCCAGAGTTCAGAAAGAGCTAGAAAGGATGAGCTTATTCAGCAGTAAGTCTCAGAGGATGAAAACACTCTAGACCTAGGTTAGATTGTACAGAGGTTAGAAGCTTTCAGGACTAGGACTAGATAAGTAGATGAAGGCAGTAAGCCTCTGAGATGACAATTACTTCTGGATAATTATCAATCCTCTCCTATCTCTATCTTCTTATGTAAACAGGAGACCTAGGATTAATGCTAGGAAATATTCACCACACAATATCCAAGTTTGAGGTACTTAACAGGTGCTCACATAAGAATATTTTGCGAGTGCGTGCAGCATGCCTTGTGTTTGGTACGTATTCTAAAAGTTAGATATGTTGTTAACAAGCATGGGAACTGATGCTTTGGAAAAAATAGTTAACTTATCTGCATAACAATGAGAGCTCACAGAAATCCTAGGACAATAATGGAATATGTTTAGATGATAGCAGAAAATCTGGTGTTCCTAGTGGTCCCACACAGAAAATACAAGTCACACTGGAATTTGGTACAAGTTTGCCACAGCAGACTTGTGAACAACAGCATGGCTGCCTTTGTTTGAGTTACTATTGCTATGATGAAACACCATGACCAAAATCAAGTTTAGGAGTTATTTGGCATTTCCATACCCACAGTCCATTGCTCTAAGAAGTCAGGATAAAAACTCAAACAGGGCAAGACCCCAAAGACAAGAACGAATGCAGAGGCCATGTAAGGTGCTTCCTGCTTGGCCTGCTCTCTCACTGGACCACATGCCCAGGGCTGGCACCAGCTGAAGTGGGCTGGGACTCCCACATTGACCACTAATTAAGAAAAGGTCCTACGGGCTTGCCTACAACCTAATATTATGTTGGCATTTTTTTTTTTCCAAATGGAGATTACCTCCTCTCAGATAACTTTAGCTTGTGTCAAGTTGTCATAAAACTGTCATAATTGACCCCTTGTCAGTTTGAAAATCAACAAATCACTATAAGGCCTCAACTTTTCCTTTCTTATTCATCCACAAGATTTCACATAAATAAGAACATCACAATATAAAATAGTAAAAGTTCCAGTCTTTAAAAATTCAAACAAAGACTCTACTCGATAGGGCATTGAAGCAAATGCTGAGACTCACAGCTGAACTTTGGGCAGAGTGTAGGGAATCTTATGAAAAAAAAGAAAAATAGAAAGACCTGGATGGGACAGGAGTACCACAAGGAGAGCAATAGAACCAAAAAAATCTGGGCACCGATTTTCTGAGACTGATACTCCAACCAAGAACCATGCATTGGAAATAACCTAGAACCTCTGCACAGATGTAGCCCATGGCAGCTCAGTCTCCCTAGTAAAGAGGTACAGGGGCTGTCTCTCACATGAGCTAGATGGCTGGCTCTTTGATTCCCCCCCCGGGGGGTGCAGTCTTGCCAAGCCACAGAGGAAGATGATGCAGCCAACCTTGATGATACCTGATAGGCTAGGGTCAGATAGAAGGAGAAGAGGTCCTCCCCTATCAGGGGACTAGGGAAAAGGCACAGGGGGAGAAGAGGAAGGGTGGGTGGGACTGCGAGGAGACAAAGGAAGGAGCTGCAGCAGGGATACAAAATGAATGCAGCAGGGATGCAAAGTGAATAAATTGCAATAAATAAATAAATTTTAAAAAATAGAAAAATTCAAACACTTTAAAAGTTCAGTCTCTTCAAAATATCCCACCTTTCTTTTAAAATCCAAAATCTTGGTAAAACTCCTACATCTTTTTAAATGTTTAAAGTCTCTCAACTATGATGTTCTGTTAAAAAGAAAGAAAGAAACAAACAAACAAAACCACCAAACTTTCTTACTTCAAAGGGAAAGAATCAGGACAAAGTAACAATCAAATGAAAACAAA